AAACTCGATATGAGGATCTTACAGAGACTGGCTCCTAAATGTTGTGATAATTTTAAATTCTTCAGTAAGCAAACATTAGGGCCATTTATACGAGGAAAAATAAGATGCGAACTGTACCATTTATACGAGCATGTCTTTTCTAATAAGACGCGTCTTATTTTAGACGAAATGTGCCGTTTATACGGAAAGTTCGCGTCTTATTTAAGACGCGTCTTATTTTTTCTCGTATAAATGGCCCTATTATGTATTTTAAGGGAGCGCTGCCGGAATAGGGCGGAATGATTTCTTGCCTAGTTTTAGATAATGTACGTATATATTGTATAATTACATTTTACTGTTTATTACCTAGCTTTTTGCAAATTCATAATTCAGATTTATTTTAATTTCCTCATTTTACTTTTATATCAGGCGAAGAGCCATTCCATGGATGTACTGATATTAAACCGTTATTATTGTTATTATCATTATTAAAGTTAGACGTGCAGTGCCTTGGTACAATGACGAGATAGAGGCCGCTGAATGCTTGAGACGTAAGGCTTGAGGAGAACGAGATCTCTGCCTGACTTGAAGCTACTAGCAGGAAAGGTGCGGCAAAGGTCACTATGAAGGGGACTAGTCAGAAGTACAATAATTCTCAATCGCTTCTAAATTGTTTTAATGATAATTCATTACATAACTTACAGTTATTGATCACCAGATGACATTACATTGACAGACGCAAAAGCGGCAAAAGTCACTATGAAGGGGACTAGTCAGAAGTACAATAATTCTCAATCGCTTCTAAATTGTTTTAATGATAATTCATTACATAACTTACAGTTATTGATCACCAGATGACATTACATTGACAGACGGAAACGCAGAGGACAGGATTCCTCTGAGGAGGACACATTTTTGTCCATGGCGAGGGAAGAAAACAAACTTAAAATGAAGGTCCTTAAGCTTAAAGAATGGAAGCTAATCCAACAATGCGATAAAATGGGACACCTGCATACGACACTGACAAGGACAATTGCAGTTCCTTGTAATTTTGTGAACTTTGAAATAATCATGTCATGATATGTAACCATCATAAACTTCAAAACAAAAGAAGTAAAAGATTAATTAATTGCGGTGAATATTCTTTTTTGTTTCCTATTTTGTTTTCAATGAATAGTACATGGAATTTTATCAATCCATTAATCCTGTTAAGCAAAGTATCGTGAAATAATGAGCTGGCTTTTGTCATTCCCAGTTGCGTCTGCGGCAGCAACAATGTCAAATGGAACATCTTCGTTTTCAATGTCTAGCTCTCGATGCATAAGAGCAAATTATACAACACTGCAGTTGTCGATAGTTTTCTGAAATACTGTAACATTGTTTTTTTAGATGTTATTGTACTAAACGGGATGATGTATCAAGTCAATCAACATTGTCAGTTCTTATCGTGAACAGAAACAATGAACAGATGTTACAGATGTATTTTAGGTTTGCATGCTGATGCGATATACTCAGATGTAATCAGCTTTTGTACGGAACGGGCCCTTTTTGGAAATACAGTAGATCACTTTCGAGGAGAATCATGTTTGTGGATGTTAAACAGCAACTCAAGATTCAAGGTGGGCATCGCTCGTATGTTTTGGAAATGTTCAAACGAGTACTGAAAGTGGCTCCTGATGACAAGGAGGAAATAGAACTGTTGAGGATCTCTCTAAAGGGAACGTTTTCAGTATTGGAAGACTAGGACAAGTCTATTTTGGAGCTCGTCGAGGAAGCCAACATTGATAAGGAAATTGAAGAGTCGGAAGGCTTCAACGGAGAACTTCAGCTTTATTTACTCAAACTGGATTCACTCTCAAAGGAACTGAAGACACCTTCAAAACCTTCGCAATCGTCTCCGTTGTCTGCAAGTCCTCAAGCTACAGGGTCAACGTCACATTCAACCAAACTTTCGAAGCTCTTCTTGAAAAAAGTCTCTGGTGATCCCAAAATGTGGCAAGAATGGTGGGACGTTGAGAAATTTAATCATTTAAGAAGCCTAGTAGAGGATGCAGCATATGCCACGATTGCGGGATTATCTCTAAAAGAGGAAAATTACAAAACGGCAATTGATCTTCTTCAAGAGAGGATTGCTCAAAAACAGGTCATGATCAATTCGCATATGGATGCTATGTTAAAGTTAAACAGTGTGAGCACGATGGCCGATATCAAGAAGATTCGCCAGCTATATGACCAAGTTGAAATCCACGTTCGTGGATTACAAGAAATGGGGTGGATTCGGCGTAGTATGGCACACTGCCCATCCCCATTAGGATGGCAAAAATAAAGATCTACGCCTTATCCTCAGTCGTCAATTCTGTGGTGACAATTGGAATTTAGATGAGCCTTTAAAGGCCTTTAAGACCGAACTAGATGCACGTCTTCGAGTGTGGGAATATCAAGCGGTACTAATCAAGTACACTCATCACTACCAAAATGGAAGGGAGAAGAAGCTTCTGGAAATCCAACAGCGGCAGCTGTGGCGTCATTAATCGAAACATAAATTGCAGTTATTGTCACAAGTCACATCCCTCTGTGACTCGTAATGTTATCTCCGACGTGAAGGCTAGAAAATCTTCGCTTCTCACACACGGTCCTAGTGATAGAGACCCACTCAGATTCATTGGGCTGGATGACATCCACAAGGATAATCCAAAGGGAGTCGTGCACCGATTTTGCAGAGTCGTCTTTGGAGTAACGTGGAGCCCATTTCTTCTGAACATCACGATAAAACAGCACCTCCAGAAATACGCAAATGGAAACCCAGAACTTGTTAAGGCCTTGTTAAACAGTCTTTATGTAGACGACATGACGTCTGGGGAGTCGACTGTCGAAAGAGGCACACACGCATCAGAGCTGAGTGGGAGTCCTGTATGTGTTCGTGGTCCTGAGTAGTTGTAAACAAGCGAGAAAAAGGTGGCCTTTACACAGGACCGAGACTGAAGCACCAGCAGAATGTCTCCAGGAAATTAAATCCTCTACTTCAACAAATCTGACAGCGATAGAAGCATCCGCAGTTGCTACCATCGATTGCAACAGATACAGCAGTCTTCAGCGACTACTAAGGGTCACCGCCTATGTCAAATGGTTCGTTCACAATACCTCTGATTATTAATGAGAAACAGGAAGCCAAAATCTTGTGAATAAAGGAGATGCAAGGGCAATTGCAAGTAGATGAACTCAAGAAGCAACTTGAACTGTTCAAGGACGAGAAGGGCATAGTTGGTTGCAGAGGACCACTTGGCAACAGCGAAGCATCATATGACACAAAATTTCCTGTGCTTTTGTCACAGAATCACTGCCACACCAATGATCATTCCCTATTGTCACGAACGTGTCAAGCACAATGGTTTAAAGGAAACATTAACAGAAGTTCATTCTAAGTACTGGATCCCAAAGGGGAGACAAACTGCGAAGAACAAACTGTTTGGATGTAATATATGTCGACGATTTCAAGGCAGGAACTATCCAGTTCCAGAATCGCCCGATTTACCAGAATTTCGTGTTAGGGATGTGCCCGCTTTCAGCTGTGAAGGAGTTGACTTCGCTAGTCCTTTGTAAAATCAAAGGTGAAGGATGAACCAGAGATGACAAAGGTGTATATTGCTCTGTTCACCTGTGCCACTAGTCAAGCAGTTCATTTAGAACTGGTATCAAGTCTAGAAGCTAAAAAAAAACTAAAAACTAATTGTTTCAGGCAACGTGATAACCTTTCAGGCCTCAGAGAAGACCTTAGTTAGCCTATTTGAACTGGAAGACATACAAGAGCACCTGTCCAGCAAGGGGATAAGATGGCAGTTCAACCTGGCGAAGGCGCCATGGTGGGTGGATTTTTTTAGTGCTTGGTGAAACGAGTGAAATCCAGTCTGAAGAAAACACTCGGAAGATCGAAGCTTTCATTTGATGAACTCGCAACTATTCTTGTCGAAGTTAGAGCAGTTCTGAATTCAAGACCTCTATTCTGACGATGTTGAAGAGCCTCTAACGCCATCGCATTTAATCATTGGGCGAAGACTTTTAACTCTACCCGTGGGACCTCTTCAAATTGATGATGGGGACTTTGGTGACCATATAACTGCTACCAAACGTTCTCGCTATCTTGCAGATCGAATTCAGCACTTCAGAAGGAGGCAACAATAATATCTCGTCAAGTTGAGTGAATTTCACCTTCCCAAAGGCAAGAATCTCACGTTACCTCCTGTGAGAATTGGTGATGTTGTTATCTTTCACGACCAGGGAACCTCACAGAGAGCGTTCTGGAAGCTTGCAAAAATTAGAGATTTGATCAAGGGAAGAGATGGAAAAGTTCGCGGAGCATGAGTGTTAGTTGTAGGAAAGAAGACCCTTATCGAGATACCCCTTCAAGATTTGTTTCCTCTCGAAGTTCATGCTAGCAACACAAAATCAATCAATCAAAATAGTATCACGGAAGATGAACTTTGCAGAGTGAAAGATGGAGTTTCAGTTACACAGACAAGACCTTGTCGAACCGCAGCAGTTGTTGCAGAGCAGAAAATCAAGCTTATTGACCACTTGTTACGCTAAGAACTAAACAGTTCAACATTCTCATTGAGCCAGTACAAAAAGCGGTCAAGGGGGGAGTGTCGATAGTTTTCTGATCTGAAATACTGTGACATTGATTTTGTTTTATTTTATTAATCTGCCATTGCCTTGCTTGGAGCTGTCACAACCATTTTTTGATCAGATTAGAGATAAATCGCTTCTACGCTTAATAGGTTAGATGTTATTATAGTAAACGGAATGATGTATCAAGTCAATCAACATTGTCGGTTCTTATCGTGAACGGAAACAATGAACAGATGTTACTGATGCATTTTAGGTTTGCATGCTTACACGATATATTCAGATGTAATCAGCTTTTGTACGGAACGGGTCCTTTTTGAAAACAGTATATCATTTTTGAAAGAGTTGAATTTATTACTCATTCTCAACAGCAGTAGCCACAATAATGACGAGGGTATTCATCGAGGCGGTGCACAGTCCCAAGTGAAGACACAAAAAACGACGATTAGCAGTCCATAGCATCTCTCAATAACACACCTAGTACGCCTATGTGCAGTATTATAGCGCCCTTTTCCTGAATTCTTTGGCTTGAGGACTGGTGTCATTAAATATGCTCTACAAGCGTATCCACTGTCACCCACAAGAATGCCATCAATAGCACCATCCCTTAATTTGTCTGCTATCTTGCTGTTCTAAAAAATGCATGAGTCGTGCGTCGATCCAGGCCAGCGAGCTACATTGTTAGTAATAAAGGCCTCGCTATCACAAACGGCTTGGACGTTGATGGAGTAAAACTGCTTTCTGTTAGCAAATGCCATAGCATTTTCTTTGTTGGGACATATGATCCTGATGTGGGTACCATTGATGGCGCTGATCACACCTGGAAAGTGCACAACATCATAAAACTTTCTCTTTATATCAGCCAGGTTTTTTGTGCTCTTTGTTTTGCAATAGCCCTTGAAACCTTGTCAACTGCAGTACATGCAGCAAATGCACTAACACCAAATAAATCGCCAATAACCCTTTTTTTTTTTAATTTTTTTAATTTATGATCACACTTGGCATTCACTTACAATATAGCTACACAACTTAAAATACAAATACGGTACTTACTTACAACAGGACTACAAAATTTACTTACGTTACAGCTTTACTACTTACTTGTTTGCTACTTACTTACATTAAAATACCTAAAACTGGTTTACAACAAACAAAAGGACTACTAAAGACAATAAATAAATGACAAGAAAGAAAGAAAAAAGGCGACTCCTCTGCCTAAAACGGTTTTTAGCAATAACTATTTGAGATAACATTGACAACAATTGCTAATATTAATTATAAATCATAAATATGTATAATTAGATGATTAATAAGATGATTAATAAACAGTGCGGAAAGATATGTGAAATAGATACTTTAAGAAATATTGGCGGTATGTCTAGCTCTCAATTGCACTTTGGCCTTGGTTCATTTACAGAAAATGGATAAATAGGAAAGCTTTTATTTTACCAAAAGCTATGTAATGTTGAGAAGTGGACGTAAAGGATTCCATTTCTTAGAAGTTGCATCAATGTTGTTGGACTCTATGTAAAAATGCGATTTAAGGGACATAAGAAAAGTTGTTAAATTCGGAATTTTCTGGTTGACCCTGCAGCTCCATATATAATATCTTGCCAGGAGAAAGCAGAAATTTAGTTGAAGTGAAAACTTGGAGGTGTCTGGTTTCAGGCCCAGATATACAGCAGTGTATTTTGGATAATCTATCGTTATTAGATTGATCTGCTTTAGTTTTTCAGTCAAATTTTCCCAAAAGGTGGCTACTATTGTACAGTTCCAGAAGAGGTGGATTAGGTTTTCGGGATGGATGGTACAGAAAGAGCAGTTCGGGTCCTGCTTTATATCAATTTTTGTTAGGAAAAGGTTCGTTGGTAAAATTCGGTGAAGGAATCTAAATTGAAAGTTTACAAGTTTTGTGCTTTTTGTGCACCTAGCTGCCAGACAATAGGCGCTGGTCCAGTCAGCAGAGCATCTTTGGTCGGATTTAATGCTGTCATTCCATTTCTCTTGGCTCTTAACAGGTACGGTGCTTTTGGAAGAGAGGAGCTTCTGGTATACAACTCTGTTCACTTTATCGTTCTTGAAAAAAGTCTCGGAGAAGGTCTCGGAGGAGGTATTGGGAATGTCTGTGCTACTGGGTTCTTTACTAAGAAAGTTAGTCTTATAATGGTGTCGAAGGGCAGAAATTAAGCCGAAGTACTTTATGGGTTGTATTTGTATTTTGTAAGTGCTGATAAAATCTGCTAGGGGGAGAAAATTCCGCGAGTCTGTCATTAAGTGGGCTACCTTAGTGATTCCATGCAGGAAAAGATGTTTGTAGAAGACCGGTCTGTTTTCGATCCTAATCAGCGAATTATGCCATATATGTTGTTCAAGGAATTGCTGCTCGGTTTTGATTTTAGCATCAAAATTAATTTCTGACCATATTTCTAAAATTTCTTGTAGAAATGGGTCTTGGACCGATATCGACTTTGAAATGTCACGTTTGTGTAAATTACATGTGAAGACTAGTTTGCCGCCGTACTTCTTAAGTTCTACTTCAAAAAAGTATTTCCATTTTCCGCGGTTAGAGTCGTCAAGGTATTTTTTGATCCAAACAGTCTTGAGCGATTTGGTAAATGAAGCGATGTCAATCATTTTTAACCCTCCATTGTTATAGTCGTTATAGCCAATAACCCTTTGAAAAGTTCCTGTTGCATAGAATCTCAACGCAATAAGCACTTGCTGCATTGGTGTTAGCGACTGTCCTCTCCGAGTTTGATGTTGAAGATCTTTCTCCAAAATTGTTACGAGGTCAATGCCTGAATCCCTTCGGACGTGAAAATGCAAACAAAAGTCTTCATTGTGGTATTCCTCTAAAGGGCTAAATCTATCCCTAAGGTATCGAATACGCACATTTCGTTGATTGGTGTAGTTTCTAAACTGTCTGTAGTGCAGTGGTCCCTCCATTTCAAAATGGCTGACCATGAAAATATTGTTAAACAGTGTTTAAACCTACCTTTGAGAAGATCTTACTATTGTTCCTTAGTCGGTGTTTAGACATTGTCTAAACACTGTTATAGAAAAACACCGTTTAAATAATCGGTATTTATGGTTTAAAAATTGGTTAGACGATGACTTTCATAAACGCTGTCTAAACGTGGTTTAAATAACCGGTCCACTATATTTACACGCAAATAAAAGCCGCTGATTGCAAATGTAGTTTTGAATCGCAAATCGGAAATAACTTGTGAAAACAAAAACTGCAAATTGACAAGTATTTCGGTATATTTAAACGGGACATTGTACATATAGTGCAGACTGAGGAAAACACATTTAGCGTATTTTGTAGTGGTAAGAGCGACTTCGGTTTTTCAATGACTTTTTGTCAAAAAGAAGAGTTTATGTGCTTTGAATCTCCCCTCCACCACCACCACCTTTCAACATTTTTTGATGACGTCCAACCCTACGGTATTCTCATGTCACTTACTCCTCGCCAACTGAAAATAAACTATGACATTATCTTATCTTAATGAGATGAATGACGTCATCGGCATTAATGTATCCCTGCGGAAGCTAATGAGATTCCCACGCATTGAAACGGATAATTCAGTGCCTCCCCCACTACTGTAGATGTACTTTTAGAGCTGTTAATGAATTGAAGAATATGAATTTTCCGCTGGCATGTTTCAATTCTCTACAGGGCTCTCTGACACCTTCTGATTGGTTAACCAACACCATAAATTCGCTCGCATAGAATGCGTTCTTTCTCTCTCTCACATGCCACTTTCCGACATGTTTACCGTTCGTTTTATCGCAGAGATATCTGATGTGGAGTCAGCTGTAAAGGAATCGAAACCTAAAGATCTTTCAGCGAACCCTCAAACCTCAAATTTCGGAGCTGGTTGATGAAGTATTTTCNCATGCCTTGGACTCCATGTTTGCAAGTAAGACATTTCACATCTGCCAGACAAAGTATGGCCAAACGTACGTTCGTGGGGACGATTAAATTTTAGTTGCAGTAAAATATCTTAGTTGCATAGATAACTAAGAAGTTTCACATTTTCATGTTTTTTCTTTCAATTCCACTTTCCGTTTTGCTATTCTGAGCTGTTTTAATCGCGCTGAAACATCCAACTTTGCTTTCCTCCATGTCTGTTTTCCCCTAAATAATCCTATAACTGCTTGTGCGCCTAGTTTGGGTCCCAGGCTATCACGCTTTTCTGAAGTGAGCTATTCCTAACGAGGAGTTAATTATTCACCACACCATACAGTAGATAGAAAAGATCGCGAAACAACCAAAGTGCACAAAGTTTATGATGGATCAGCGAAATCATCCAAGGAAGGACTCTTCTCTGCATGATTGTTTAGACAACAGCGATAATTACATTCCGCATATATTTCACATTGTAGCAAGATTTCAAAACAGCTTAGTGGGACTTGCTACAGACATTGAAAGGCTTTTCTAATGGTGAGCATCAACGACGAAGACGGAAACATGGTCCATCTCCTGTGATTTGATAACCTACCGAAAGACAGACCGAAAATTGGACAATTCCAATTCCATTGGCTTTTGTTTGGATTACGACTATCGCCTTCGATACTTAGAGAAATAATAGCTCATCATTTGGGCCTGTACAAACAAAGTGAACCAGAAATGGCAGTGCTTCTCAAAAGGTAATTGTACGTTGATGATTTAGTTACTGGAACTGTAAACGACAAGAACAACTTGGAAATTTGTCACAAATTGAAGAGAATTATGGCAGATGGTGGATTTCATCTAAGACAGTGGAACACTAACTCGCTTAAACTGCTGTCTGAGAAGTCAAATTCTGAAAGGCCCCTACAAGATTCAACTGCCCAAGACAAATCACAATCGGATGTCATTATTGGCGATAATAAGTCTTACCCTGAGACAATGACTGGATTGGATAGTCCTTCAACAGAGGAATGCGCTGTTGTCAAGGTTTTAGGACTCAACTGGAATACTGTTAGTGACAAACTTTTCTTTGATTTTTCCAGTTGACACACCTATGCTATGTCACTTCCACTTAGCAAGAGGTCAGTGTTAAAGGTCACAGCGAAGATCTTTGATCTGATAGATTCTTAACACCATTTACAATAGGACTGAAGATTCTGTTTCAAGAACTTTGCGTAAGCAAGATCAACTGAGAAAAAATGCTGCAAGGAAAACTTCTGGGAAATTGGAAATCTTTTGTAGACAAAATTGGATGTTTTGAAACTGTCCGTATCCCA